ACTAGTAACTCTTTTTGCCGTTTATATTTTTAATATATTTTTGCCATCAAAATTATATTTGACCGCTAGTTCCTAGTTCCAGATAGAATCAAATCTAAAATTTGCTAGATAGCAGAAAGTACATATTAGAGATCTGTAATAAAACGAAGCAATCCCATCAAGAACGAGCTCCTATGATTTGGCTTTGTTCCGATGTCCGATTCAATCCACAATTGTAAACTCTATCCCCAATTCATGAAGGTATTAGGGGAAATTATTTAAAAAGCAAAATAATTTTTAATTTTTACTTAATAAGTAAAGTACACCACATGTGTAAAGGTTCAAATTTGGAAAATATGTCAGTTTCTTAATTTTTAATTGAAAGAAATACGGTTACCTTAATATCTTCTCATAATTATGATCATTGCTTTTAAAAAACTTTTATATTATGTGAAATGTATTTTCATTCGATTGTTAAGTTCATTTCAGACTATCGTGAAATATTTAATAGAATATGAATATTAAAAATGAAAGACTAAAGTTTTAAAAAAATAGAATATGTAGTTACATTACTTTAGCGGAAATCATTTTATTTTTGTATATTTTATTTTCAAATGTGAATCAACAGTTACATTAAATTAAATTAAAAACAATAATAAGAAACAGAGAACCAATTATCATACTCACACATTTTGCCCTTTTCTTAGCGTAATCGGTCTAGCTAACACGTGAAGTTAGATTATAGTGATGAGTCTGTCTATATATATTACAAATACAGGTCAATATCAATGAAGCTATCTGTTTTAATCGAGTTACTTTAATCGATTAGTTATCATCAATCATTCGACACTAAGAATTGAACATGTGCGGATGATTGAAAGTCGATTTTTAATCAATTAACTTCAAACAGACATCATGTAGCTAATATAATATTTTCAACTTGTGTGTTTATTTTTATAATATAGATACATTTAAAAATATTAACCTCAAACACCTTTGTCTACATAGGTAATGATTCTTTAATCAAGTTTATAAAATCCACATCACAAAAAACAGAATAGGTACCTTTTATTTTAAATACTTAACTTCTATTAGGTACAATACATATCGATTTAACTTAACCTCCGCATTTTGGGTTTACCTATAGTTAACTGTTGAAGTAAATCATTGCGATAATAACAATTATGGTAATATCATGTGCGGAGTATGTGTGCGGCATTTCTCATGAGCCATTTAGCTCGTGAATTATGTTCGCAAACATTTTGAATATCGAACGCTGTTTTTATTGCCTCTCAATAATGCTGTCAGGTTATCATCTGCACCGGACAATGAAGTATCGATACCCTCTAGATTATGAAAAGTGGGTCGCAGAAGGGCGAGTAGCTATATAGGTAGTGTTATAGTAAATAGAAGGAAGAGGTTTAAGAGAGAGGTTGGTACTTAAATTGAGTTTTGAAAGCTTAACTTCTTACTTATTTAGAAATTCGTGTCGACAGATTTGTATTGGAAAAGAAAAGTGTTGTCTTTTTCATCCAATTTCCTTGCACTCCAATTAATATTTAATAGAAACATTTTAGTCCACTTATTTTTCTTTGCTCTTAGCCAATATAAGTACGTAAATAACCATTTTATTCTGTGTATAAGTTTTCTACCTGTTTTAAAGTACAAAACTTAAAAATATAACTAAGTATACTATCTGTCTATAAGCCTTATAATAATAATGTTACAAATACAATCAACAAAACCACTTACAATTATTATTCAATAAACGAAATTGCGTCAAAAGATCCCTCTCAATAAGCTCACTGGTGACCATACCGCTTTATTGCTCAGCAATTTATTCAGAACTTGACCGCCTCATAATACAAATTTGAAACCAATATCTACGTAGCAGGATCCATTTTGCTTTAGCTTAATTGTAAAATACACTAAGGGTATTGTAAATGTAATTGAAACTGGCCACTGCAAAGACTACAACTGACCACAGGAACAAGTGGCTAAAAACAACAAAATAAGGATAGTCCACTCAAACATGTTCATTTGTACTTCAAATTAGACATGTGGACCATTACCTAGTATATCAAGTTTTGCATAAGCATTATTCGAGAGCCTTTCTCGCCTATAAGGGGCTAAAAGTTAAATTTAAAACTTCAACTACTGTTATTTCATTTTAACTTAAAATATTCTTTCTCAACACAGATATTCCGTGTTTAAATTTTTCTCTCATTTCAAAAACTAGTAGGATAATACATACAATAAATTAAAAATCAATAATGAGTTTCATACTTTATTTTTAATCGATACACCGACTATTACACTTAAAGTCAAATCATAAATAATCGAATCATAATAAATTCGTAAATCAATAAAATTATACGGCATTCTATAATTTAACAGAATTTATAACAGTCAACATATCGTAAATTTATAATTGAATTAATTGGAACCGAATCGTGGTAATCGAATTAGACTTTGCCCGATGAATGGTGTCTAATGATAACGCGTGCCGCAACCAATACAATGAAATGAACACGACCCCCGTCCCTAGCCTTCAGTTATTCCAAATTCAAAATTTAAATGTTTCAAATGCTATTTATTGTACAATCGAGTTCTACGAACTTAAACAGAAATGTATATATACACAAACTTAAACAGTATTATAAACACGACGTATCTAGTTTATTACTACTTGATGTCAAAGACCTTTCATATAACTTTGATCATTTGAACTATGAACAAAAGCTCTCGTAGAAAAGAAGTTTTCGGGGTTTCTTATTCAATTAAATATTATGACTACTTACATTCATCCATTTTAATTAAACTAACATTCTTGTATCTATTTTAGAAAGCTATATTAAAGCTAGATGTCAAGTTCTGTTTGAACCGTTAACTCAAAGCCAAAGCCAAAAAAACGATGTATTGAAATTAATTAACATAAAATATCTTAACTTTATTTTATAATGACCTTTTTTATTATTTATCTGTAGATAGATATTATATTTAATTAATTATTGTTCAATTTAGTTTTCTGAATCAAATTAAAATTTCTTTTATGGGGATGGTAACATACAAATACGGCCGGTAACGGTTTATGAGGGCGAGACCACTAATTTCAACTATTTTTTTACGATAAAAATTAAAATCAAATAAGCTCTAATTAAAAATAAAGCTACATTATTATTTATGAAATTATATCTTATTATGAAATTATCTATTATTATTTTCAAAGTTGAGTACGGCGATTAGACAGGTAGAGACGGAAGATCAAAAACTGTTTCAATAAATTACCTACTACATATTTCGATTTTTTTTTAAAGTGCTTTTCGATTCGATTTTTTTAATTTTTTTTTTAAAGTGTAACCTTCAATTACAATGTAACTCACATTTATAAAATATAATTGCGGAAAGAAATAAAAATATGATTTTTACCGGTAATTTATTATATCTTAAAAAAAACCCGTCGTGACTGCGATATGATACAAATTTCACCTTTTTTTAAACTTATTATAATGTAATTTTTAGTAAAAAAAAAGTCAATTTACAAATAAGATGTTGATCTATTATAGGTATTGTTAGAAACTTTTTTCTATGTTGTGCAATAAAATATAAAATAATAATATTAATAGAAAAATAATGTACGTCTTTTAAATCTGTTAATTTTTCCCACACATTTTTTATCCTTTTTCACATTGCTAATTCTATTTCTAAATAAGTATTCATTCATCAGTAGTACGAAACTAAAAAACTGTTTTAAAGTCTTGCATGCAAAGCGAGCCCGGAATTATTTCTGACAACCGTAGCTAACATTTGAAGGGATTTTTAATTGCGTTCAGAATTTTAACATTGTTAATCTAAAAATGCGATATATGTCGACATCTATGACGAAAGAAAATTAATTTAAATGTACAATTCACGTTTAAAAAGGGTTTAACTAAATAATAATAGAGTATTAGCATTTCTATTTGGAAACTTAGCTACTATTTTAGTGGGCACGTACCAATGATATTAACCATTAGTGCGTACACTCTCTTTCAATCGCTTTTTTGGTCTAAGAAAAACTAAAAAGTCGTAGAGTCAACTCACTACGAGTTAGGAGTATAATTTCGTCATCGAAATCAACAAAGTCGGTTTCATTATCAAAGTTGATTATGTATACTGTAGAATTAGTTAAGTAAGTACCAAGCACATAATTTAATTTTATAGATAATTAATATAAAATTATAATTTAAAAGACCAAAAGCTTTTACCTGTTTTTATAACAGATCTATCTTTTGGAGGAAGACTAAGTTTTAGGGACTTGCATGATCTATTAATCTATGTACCTATACTCAAAGCTTTTATTCTGTGTATCAACCAAATTTAATGAATCTTAAATCTTAGAAATCAATAACAATATTTGAAAGCTACTTTAGGCGAATATTTCCTCGCGCTAAATGTCACAGTTCGTAGACATGTTCATCTTATTCCTTGAGAAGTGTTCAAAAGGGTTTCGTTTACAAAGTGTAACGCAGCCAACTCTGAATACGGTAAACTTTCTCAAAAAATCACTAACGACTACTCGCAGCCGTTACGTGCGGGCTACATGTTGGTGAGAGATTCTTTTATTTATTTTTCTCATTACATCCAACTGAATAAAGTACGAAATGTCAACACAGTTGAAGGCGAAAGCAAGTAAAATGTCTATAGGCCTGCTACATACGACTACGGTTCGTTATACGACTAAGTTTTATGTTGCTGCTGCCCTCTAGATAAGATATTAAGAATCTAAGGAAGCAGTTAGCTGTCAACAATAGATGGCGCTTATTTTAAATAACGCAGAAAGTCACAACTTGCCGGAACAGTAGTGTCTTCAAATTGTTTGTTGTTTACAGCTGTCACTAATTGTGTCAATGTCATTGTCAATTTATATTGGATTGGGCAGATTCTGATAGACAGCGTTGGCGGATTGGTGGGTTGCAATTTCCTCAGTGTTTGGTTGACAGTGAAGTGACAGTATACAGCTGTCTTGTAAGAACATAAAAATACGGTGAACGTTTTTTATTGATTTCAATTTGTCCATTTAGCTTTTCGACAAACTGTAATAACTTGACTTTTTTATTCAATGTTTCCGAAGTGAAAATCAAGGGGTATCCCTGTGATTCAACGTATTATCATCACTAAATGTCTACACAGTCAAAAACAATGCCGAAGTTAGATCTGAAAGTGTATATAAAAGTGGTCGCTGCTGTTTTCTCCGTAAGTAAACACGGTTCGATTTCACTGTTTTACTACCTTGTGTAGCTGAAACCACTAATTACCTTATTAAGTACGGCTTGTACGGTATTATAGTCGGAAGTCGTAAAGACAAGTTCCATCCATTGCTTATAGAGATGCGTTCTTCATTAAATCTCATGTAACTTGTAGGTATATTTCATATTTTTTAATGAAAAACGATGTTTTGAGCGGAAAAACACTGCACTGTTATTCTGAATATTCATAATAAATTTCTGTTCAAATCAAATAAGAATAATAAATGCTTATCTGTAAAGTAAATAAATGAATCAGTTTATTTATTAAATAGATATGATTGTTTTCAGTAATGTTAAATCAATATTTACACTAAACAAATACTGACAAGTTCTATTTTTATTTTTTTTATCAATTTTACATTCACAACATATTGCAAAAATATTCTTAATGGAAAATAATCAAAAAATCCACTTTGTCCCTGGCACTTTAAGATGGGACTTGAACTCATGACCTTTCTAAGCTACCCTGGATCTAACAAGACTGACAAATTTTTGAAATACTTGTTTCTTTTATGCTACTACAGAGCATATTTTCATCAATGTTCAGGCAATCCATTTATTATGTCTTATTATATTTGTAACAACTGCTTTAAAAATATTTTTATTTTCAGATTTCAGCAACTTCAGCATTTGTGTTAGCTTTGCTGCGCTTATTAAATCCAGATTTTTTTTACTTGAGTCCATTAGATGGTTCTGATTTGGGTAAGTCACAGAAGATATTAATTTAAGTTATTGTACAATTAAATGTGTGAACATCAACCATTGAGCATTCTCAAACAATGTCATCATAAATATTTTTTTCCAGTTGTTCATTACTTCATATCAGGGTTGATGGTGGTCGCTAGTGCTATTGGCTTCCTCAATTCTTGTGTTGTAATACATAGAAGTTCCTCACAGAACATTGGTCAAAATGTTACCACATGGCTGCTCCTAGACTCTTTATTTGAGACCAGCAGAGTGATTTATGTGTTTGTCTGTGAAGTTGTGCTGAAGGGCAAGGGTTCAGTGCAAATGTATGAACTATTAATTAGTGGAGCGCAGTACTGTAAGTAGAGTATTATTTTATTTTATATCTATTTTATCTCCAAATCTCCACCCAACAATCAGCACTGTGCCTGATTCAGCAGTGTGCACATCAATAAAACCGATAATAATGATTGCCCTTTTTATACAGCAAATTAACTATTCTTTTTATCAGTATGAAATTTATAAGTGGATTTTAATAGTAACTATCCTTAACCATAAAGAAGGCCCGAGCCCCTGCAGTGGAGATGTAAAAGGACTGATGATGATAGCAAAGTGAATTATTTTGCTAAATTCAGTTAATTTGATTCATTTTCTTGACAAAAAAAGACATATCGCACTCCCGGTGCGACACTGTCACTTATGCAAAAATTTAGTTTTTCAGGAGAAGAGTTTTAAACTCTGCCACCTCACAAAACAATGACTTTAGAAGATACAGATGAGATGAATCATACGGAACATAGTTCCGTATGATTCATCTACAAAAGTAGCATTATCGCACCAAGTAAAGGGGGCTTTAGGACAATTATTACATATTTAACTAATTTTTGTATTTTTTGCAAAAGTGACAGTGTCGCACCGGGGGTGCAATATGTAATTTACATCTATATTATTAATGAATATTAGATTTCTTATTAACATTTATTTTGTCTTTCAGTGCTGGACAGCTTCCTCTACTGTCAAATGATACTCAGACACTAGTACATGCCTATTTTTATAATTTTAACAATTGATTCATAAAGTATTATATGGGGACAAAAGTTATCTCATATTTTGTTTCTTATCAAAGAATATTAATTAGTTATGCATTTAGCTAATACTTTCTAGTGTAGTTCAAATCGTATTTTCGTAATTTAAAACGAATTTATGATAAGACAGGGATTATATCTGTCACATTCCACCATAACTGTGATTATTAGGGTTATTACAAAATATAAAGATGTATTCATTTGGCTAATCCTGCCTAAATTGTATCCAAAGATAATTTCTAAGAAAAAAAAAATGAAAAAGGATTTGAAAATCATCCAACTTTTAAAATTAAAACGAATTCAAAAGCCTAATGAAAAAGGACAATAATAATGTCCTAATATTAATAAGCATTTATTATTTTAAGGGAACACCCAATAATCTTTATGTAAGTATATATGTAGCTGTAGATCTGTCATGTAAAACAACTAGAATCGCATTCTCATAACACAAAATACTGTAACTATTTATATTATATTCTAGCCGTTAGCTCTGAGTAGGCAGTTGACAACCGTTACTCAATGACGTCATAGGCACGTCCACAAAGATATAATATTTTTACTTTACGATTTTATTTTTACTCGGCACGATATCTCACCAGTTAAAGAAAAATTAGAAGTTGATATTCTTTATGCAAAGATTATCATACTCAACAAAACCAACTTAAAACAAAATTCCATGAAGCAAACAAAGGCGATAATAGCGACCGAAACGGACCTACACGATGGCATTCAATGGTGTTGCTAGCTGTACCTGCATGGTCTGCCTGGACACGGGAAGCAGGTGTGGGAGCAGCTAACACAAACCGAACGGCTTGTACCAAACTAGTATCTATTCAAATCTAGTATTATGATAAATTTCTATCTTATATTGTAAACTAAAACCAGTGCGCGTAGCATGACGAACTCGAGAACGTTTTGTATACTCAAATGTCACTTTTCTCGGGTGCGCCTATGCTATATCTCACTCTCAAGAAACTGACAAATGTGTGTAGACAAAGCGTTTCTCGAGTTTGTCATCCTACGCGTGCAGCAAGCTGAAAGTGAATTGTAGAATATAATTACTATATTTTACCTATCTTCCGTCTAACATGTTATAGAAACTGATCAACACACAAATACTTAATTAGTTGCATGAAACTGATCAACACGCAAATATTTAATTAGCATTTTTCACTCATACTTGTGATGATAGTTGGTGCCGAAAGCAGAATCTAGATATCTCTGCAGCTGTAAGAATGTAATCTATTTTATGGTTGGTCGCATCTGAATAAATTTTCATATAAACGTGACTCTTGCATACACTTGTGATTTTTTTCGTCACAATGTGGTATTAGATATAATCGTATTTACTTCCCACCGAAAGTGTAACGTATCTCACACTACATTTATTCTAAGTTAAAATTTGTTATCTGTGATTTTTTTTAATTATTACACTATCTTTACCTAGTTTGTCAAATTTTACATTTTTTTTATTTATTTCTTAATTGTAAATGTTATTGTGTATTTGATGTCATCATGGTTTCTTTTAAAAAGTTGTTTTTGAAATGACTAGTCATCTATATTAATAATTGGTACATATGAATGGAATTATTGTTTTGTGTAAATCATACAAGTAGGGACGAAATTTAAATTAAGTAGGAAGTTAACTTCAAGATATTAGATTTGCTATGTATAATTGTAGCGATGTTTAAAACTTATGTGATTAAAAAAATATATGTTTAGACTGGATACTGAATTAATTAAAGGCTCTACAAAACTAAGTCGAGCTATTATAGTTAACTATTATATGGATGAGATATGGTGCTATTATATTTCTCCATTTTATCAAAATTAAAAATTATTCACTGTTAATTTTACATATCTTAAAGAAAAATATAGTAGTATCCACTAAAAACCTAGGGGGGGTTCAAAATAAACATAAGATTATTTGTTTTATATTTTTAATCAGTGAGTCATCTGTCCAAAAATATAATGCATACGCAGCTATCAACACTTCAACAGCCTACAAATTTACAAAGTGCACTTCCATTAATATTACAAATTGTACACGCCTAGTATGCAGTGCCGCACATTCATCTACAATCGCACTGCTTGACAAATCAGCAAAATTTTCAGCGGTTTTCTATCAAAATAATGTTATATATTTGTTTAACACTTCAATTTGAGTCTTCCTCTATTTCTATAACAATGAATTTGTGCGGCACAGCATCTTACAAAATACGAAGTCTACTGCGTGTCCTCACCAACAAATAATTGGGAACGCCTGCAGTCTAACTTCATTTCAAACTTACTAGAAATATTACCTCTTACAAGATAAATTGACATTTTTACGTCAACTTTTCTAAATGCATTTCTCGATGTTAATCGGAACAAATAACACTTGCTTTTCTATTTAGACAGACAATATCAATCGATCGAACATTATGTTTTACAGAGCTACTGAAATAGTTCATTTTAAATTAAGACGATGAAATAGTTTAAGCAGCATTGCGGCCAAGCGTTCTAAATATAATAATGTATGTATTACATATTTTACCCTGTAATTTTTTCAAATACAATGAATCCAAGGGGTAGGCCGAACTAGGCATTTTACAAAATCAGCATTTAAACTATACAAGATATTTATTGACTGATAGTAAAGAGAGTAAAAAAAAAAACAAACTATGTTTAACTGCTAACCCCTAGTATTTTGTTAATAAGTTACAAAATATATTTGTTACAATAAATATGGCTTTATTATTTGACAATGTGTTTCAATCTGGTAATAATTTTAAGAAAATACTTTGTTGCATCAATGCGGCATAATAATCTAATATCAATGGCACAAAAGGATCTCAATTTGAAAATTGCTGATCTCTTCTTTAATGACCGAAAGACGAGTTCTAAAATTTCTTTATAACTATTATTAGAGGTAAGAAAATACTATATTTATTTCTAATGGCACTTCTAAAAGTTTGTATCGGTTATATTAATTTATAAAGTAAAATATACCGAATATTATAAGAGAAATTACTTACTTATAGTTGTCTATTTGATAGTATTTTTTTTATTATTTTGTAATAATTTACCGCAATTCAAATTACAAATGTTAGTTAGATTAAAACTAATCTAAAGGTTCACACATTTCAATGTAAAGTTGGTAGCATGTTAAAAATCATTAATAACTTGAATCTTTTTACTTATTTTGATAATATGCACGTTATTAATTGGCCCATAAGATTCAAACTTGTCGATTGGGCCTGTGTCTTTGAACCTCGACCATCGACTTAGAATCATGAATTGACTCAACACAAGTAGATTATGCTGTTAGAAAAAAGGTATTGCTTTTCGAATCAAATGTCTAATATTGTTTATAAATTCATTCTCACAACCTGCTACAGTATTTATTTTTTTACGATGAATCGACATATGATCTAATACGTATAATACAACTTGCAAGTTAATGTGAGATCTAAGATATAAGGAACTAAATTAATAGGTATTTTCTGAAACAAACGAACACGCAACATAAATAATCATTCTAATTATTCAAATCATTGATAAAAAAAAATGTAATACAATCTGAAATCTTATCTACAAACAGTAAATTGTAATTCATAGAATACGCTTAAGGTCCAAGGGTAGTTATGATTGTTTTCCGTGAAAGCACCGAAATTAATATCATTTATCTATTTAAAGGGACTTAAATAATTTATAGAAAGTATATAAATATTTGTTCTATAGTCGCTCTAGTTGAGCGTTGATTAAACAGTAATATAAACAGTGCAAATTTAATCGAAATACAATAATACATTTCGACTGTTCGCTGTGCAAGAGCCGTATTTCATTAACATTTAAGGATCATTTTACATTGTATATTAATAAACTTTAAAATTGATAATATCTTGTAACAAAAAAACTGACTCCAAGATTTGAATAGAAAAAAAAACTATCTCATTCGCATAATTCCCGATTCATTCAATAAATGTGATAAACGCTAATACATAAATTACAAGCAATATTAAATGATCCTAAAATTTAGTAATTTCTAAAATGAAATTTAATACTCTCTTATATGGCTTGCGGTGGTCGAACATACATACCGATATTATCTCCGACGCTGAGTCTTTGTTCATTTATTATTTCACTTATTATCTATTAACTAGATCATACTATAAATATATGTCAACACAAAGAACATCACAATATCTTATCAGCCCGCTAGACGTAGAATCATAGGTCCTACATATAGGCTTCAATAAATAAATAGGTTGCTGCCTCTCAAGTGAGAGGGAGACTATATTCTCGACTAACAGATATCTTTCAAATAGAGATCAAAAAAAAATTTATAATCCATTTACATATACAGCATATGCAAATAGTACTGTCAGTATTGTATATTTATATTATTGTTCGTATAAAAGTGTATAGGTATTATAGCATACCAAGTGTTGTTTAGTCGTCCTCTATAGTAAGAACAACACCCTTTATTTTTCAAGATTTAATCAGAATTTCGTTAGCTAAAACCATAACTAAATTACACATTTTAATAGATGAAAAACGTTCCACTCTATTGACTACAAAAAGAGGATATTGTCATTTACTGCAATAATAACGACTTGCAGTCTACCGATACAAGAATATAAAGTCGACAATTGCAAAATTTTTTCACGACATCTCATCGCTGAGCTTTTATCACATGCATTTTGTTTTGCATGTGTGCAACTGTCAAATTTACATTCATGTAATGTACACACACATACTTTACGTATAAAACAAAACTCCAAACATATTCGAACGATTTGCTATCAAATCTATTCACACAGCGAACAGTGCCATCAGCTACGGATATGTTTCAGCATCACTAACTCGCTAATCAACATCTTAACTAATTAATATTAACGTTATACTACAAACTAAAAGCGCTATATTCGCCTACATACATTTACAATCGTTGTTCACTTCTTTTGTGACATTTACAAATGAGCACGCAACCATTTCAAACCAGGGATAATTCATATGTTGGATGATTATACATTTAGGAATTTACATAGCATATTGACCTCTATTACCACTAGTTATGATAAAATCTGATTGGAAAAAAACGCATGCTATTTAGGACACATATTTGATAAAAACACGCGTTTATCTCAGTCTTAATTCAAATTTAAACTTTATGGGTTGGACATTAGAGTATATGCTATGTAACTTTCAACAAATTAGATTCAAATAAATAATAAACCATAATTTGGTATTACAATCGCGTTATAAGTTTCCACAACACAAAACTTTGAGACAAACCTGGCACTTCTTTTTGGCCGCCTTTGTAAAGGGAATTCCTAAAATAATTAGGCCAATATGGTTTTTATTAGATCGCGATTGTAAAAATGCGATCTTTAGGAACTCTTTTTCTCTTTTATGATCTTTTGGCAACTCGTCGAAAAGCACCTTATGGCACCTGTTTATTATGATGTGTTATAAATGTAGACTCTTTTATGCATACACGAATACGAAGTCTAAATTATATCGAATCAATCGAGTCGAGTGTTGTTAAAAAAAGTATATATATACTTTGCATGTGCCATGTATTTTTTTAATTGTTAGTTTTTTTAAACTGCGAATTATAACGTAATATATAAAACAAAAAGATCACTACATGTCGCACTGAATTAGCAAACGCTACACTAGTGAAATGCGTATAATTCGAGCAATGACAGAAGACGAGATAGCTGGCTGCTTTTGATATCTCTTACTTCTCCGATACATATCCTCACATAATATATGACCAGATTGATCAGACATTATAGGAGGGTGGTGTCAGAAACTATAAAAATAATGAAATACATGAAAATAGTTAAGAACGTCAAAGAAACGATAAGTGTTTAAAGACTGCCTTGTAACGCCCGAATCTGCTTACAGCGAAAGAGATCAGGCATAAAGATATAAATAGGTATAAATAGAGTTTATAAGTAATCTATTTTATCATATTCAGACAGATAGACGAGTGAGAAAATAATTATCAATATTATTTTTATTATATATAAAAAAAGCTGTATTTTTTTTCTCATTTATATCAAGTAAAAGTAACCAAAATTATACAGATATCTCGCCAACTTTCATTTTTCCCACTAATACGCAATTCATAATCTGGTGTGCGACTGTATGTACAAAATGATGTTTGTCTCATTATATAAAAATGTATACGTTTTCACGTACAAAACTTAAATGTGACGAAGCAAAAGATCGTGTTTAATTAGGCGTTGAACGAGTCACATTACCCTTTACAGGTGCCTTGACAATTATTATTTAAAAAAATAACGTTAACCAGAAGAACGTGGTTGCAAACGGAGATAAAACTACCTACATTAAATAGTTTCAAAGTTCAATATAGGCATTAGCTCTGAGCGTGAATACCTAGCAGTCCATGAGGGCGGGGTCGCGGGCTAGAAGTTCTGTTGCCGCTTCCGCTTGAGGTGTATCGCGTCCAGTATCGGTTGTCGCTTGCGTGTGTACCGCGCTCGGAGCTGTTCTATCTCCGCCTCCATCTCGGCATCGAGGCGGGAAACGCGCGCCTCCAACTCGCCCACGGGGAGACACGACAACTACGAAATGTCAATTGTTTTTAACCGACTTCAAAAAAAAGAAGGTTCTCGGTTTGACCTCAGATTCATGTATGTTTGGTTGAACGGATTTTGATGCGGTTTTCAGCATAGTATTTGTCAGATATAAGGAGAAGGTTTTAGGCATATTAACAGACTAAAAAATGGAGGTTCGCACTTTAACAGGTGTAACAAGACATAAATGTCCGCGATAATTTCGCGTTTGGCTGAATCGATTTTGACACGGTTTTTAGAAAAGTATTTTTAGTGTTACCTATTATATTAAAAAAATATCAATATCACTAAAAAGCATGAAATAAGAATTAAAAAAAAAATAACCAACTTCAAATTTTAAAAAGTGAGAAGAGATACTTATCTCAAAAGCGATTTATCCAAGAAAATGCTATTGATGTCGGGCGCTTATCATTTATTTAATAACCTACAGAAAATCTCCGACTATAATAGCATTTTCTTAAATAAGTCATATAGCTATTTATATTTCAAGATAATAATAATGTTTTGGATAATAATAACAGCCTATTATTACCGTTGGATAGTTGAAAAAAAAAATAATCACACTACAAAAAGCGTTTTAAAATGTTAATATTTTTGAGGTTACACTACCTATAAGATTGATATTATTGAACAGCAAATATGTCATAATAATAATGGTTACAAAGGTAAAACTAGAAGCTAGAAGTGTTTCAAATAATAACCGGGTATTGCACTAGAGTACATCAATAAGGGTCTGTTAGCTCACACACCTATTTTAATATGGATATGACTATCTCTTTAAAATGTGACAAAAAAAATACTTAAAACTACTAAAAATATACCTTAAAGATAATTAAAAACCGGTGTATATGATACATACTCTGAATGTTTGTCTATGTACACTTTAATCTCAAAATCTTAGCCTTACCTCCGAGGCGGAGTAACAAACACACAGGTTTGAAAATGTTGCCATCTCTAAAGGTGCCGATTATCCGACACGGACCTCGATAGAATTTAAATATAGAAAATTAACTTTTTCCAATATAACCTCGTTATAAGTACCTCGTAAAAAGTCGCGAGTATTTCGAAAAGACGATGCCAACGGAAAAGGTTTTTCATAACACAAACACATCAGCTTGACTTGGTATATGAGAAATCTATGTAATCTAATATTTATTTACATATCTTACATAAACCTACCCGCTCCAATCACTAGCAAATAACATTGTTAAATTTTATTTGTGCTTATTTACAAAACATTTAATTAAGCAATCGTGCATTTAGTCCGGTCCTGGTTCTGCCTGGAAATGGTTGAAGTTAGTAAACATTATGTTAACGTTGTGTGATGACTGAATGTGAATTGATTTCAAACCTCCATGTAATGTTCAACTGGCCATTACACTTACAATTTTTGCAGATATAAGAGAGAACATTTACCAAACGAGTTGAAACGGACGAGCATCGGTTTCAAGGCAAAACAAATATAGAGGATAGTATGTTTTTTCTCGAATTTATTGGTTTTCAGAAATTGTATATAAATTAAATCACTTTCTTTTTAAAGACTAGTAATGCGGGTATTTCGGAACTTTTACGGAAGCCTCAGTTGCAAATATGTAGAAAACAAATATTATGATTTGCGTTCAATTTTGTCTCGAAATCTTACCCAGATAAAAATATATAGACACTTAATTTGATTCAATAGTTATAATAATAAAATAATAAAATCTTTATTTGCAGAAATGTGGTTTTATACGTTGTTAACAATTTTTAAATACTCAGCATATTTTGTCGTCAGGACGATGTGCAAATATTAAAAGTCATTTTTAAAAAGAAATATAAAAATGTCAACATAGTTAAACGAAATAATATCTGTAAGTATGCTTTAAGATTTGATCAAGAAATATGATATTAATAACGATGAGTTATCCTAAAGTTAGGTAAACATTCTCAGTCAGTATATCTTTTGTATTTGTTGAATAAAGTAATGACCAATATATCACTACGACCAGGACCGGTTGACGCCCACGCAAGGAAGGGAGGGTCTTATAGCATATAACCAATGGAGACGACATGAGTAGACTTAGATGGCGTATAATATCATAATCTAATTCATGTTCCGTAACAATCAGTTCAGCGTTCCAGAACAAATAAATATATTTTTTTAAATTACGCCACTATATTGCATACGGCGGCCATTTAGAAATAATGATAATATCGTTTATATATAATGAGGAAGTATTTAAAAAAAAACAAAAATTCCAGTTTTCATTCATGTTTAAAAGTAAATTAGTTTTCAAAACTCAGTAAAAACCTCATATTCTATTTGTACTTTTTTTTACTTTTTCGTATTTGTATTGATATCTATGTTTCAAGGTTTTCAAATTTCAGTTATTTAATATGTTAGTTAAAAGGAACGGAAATGACTGTCTTTTCGTTTCCTGCAAAAATCAACTTTTGCTGGAGTCGCCATCTAGTGGTGATGCCTTTTCAGTGCTTTCATTTTTTTTTTAATACTTCCTCATTGCATTGTCATCGTCACTAAAAGTATATTTCAAATGTCAGCCCAAACGGACACTGGACACTCAAGGACACATTCCTTAAAAATCGAAAAACAAAATAAATATATCGATAAAAAGCCTCTATACAGTTACAAATACGGTCGATTTTTCTGCATTTTACGACTACGCCATCTCCACTAGTTAAACGCTGTAAGGAAGGGTGCTCATGCGTGGGCGACTTACGCGGTAGACGCTAGTAGTAGCTACGCTAGCGGAACATCGCTAGCCAGCTAGTTACAGCGGCAGCAGCGCGACCACGTGAAGTTGACTTACGAATTCGAAGTTGCCTTCCTCGACGAGGGCGCGAACTAGTGTGCCGCCGTCTTCCGTGCTGTAACAAACATTATTACGTAACACTAAAGTGAAATTGCTTATACCCTTATTCAGCACAAACGTCGCAACTGATTAGCTAATGGTAGTTCAGTAACGGTCAGTTGTTCAAACGTCCATTAAGGTTTAATGTCACCTTTAAGCTCTAATGAATGTCGAATTTGTATGGGTAATGTCGCTTTAAGGTAATGCCAAATTTTAATGGACGTTTGCGCAACTGTCGAATAAGAATCTACGTTTGTGTAGAACAGCAGAGCGATTCCGTAAAAATCCGAATTCGAAGGTAACCGACAATACACGATTTTTTGACACGAAACTATTCAAAATAAAGCGGGATTCGCTTTCGGAGTGCATTCGGTAATCTGAATGAATTCAAATTCGGAACCTACGATGACCAAATTTATATAATAAGTCTTCTCACAATAACTTTAAGGTAAAAAATAAAGATTTAAATTAAAACAAACATAATATTTAGACGCAAACTAAATAATTCTGCAGAATATCATCATTTGAATATTTATATTTTAGTTTTACTTCAGAAATAAGTAATTTGAATGAATTAAGAATACTATTATTATTAACAGGCTAAGTCTACTCGACAATCTATCAATATGTGTTTCAACTATAGATACGAGTGTAAGAAGAATATTATTAAGAAAAGAATACTCTCTTTCTTTATTATACAGACCTGTCGTGCAGGGGCGGCGGGGGCGGGTGTGGAGGGGCACCGTTTGCTGGAGTCAGTCCGAGATGATTCACTTCCTTCTTCTCAAAGTGTTCCAGAAACAGTGGCCGATACTTAGGACGGTTCGTGTCCATGGGGTCTGTGTCGTGACCTGAGCGTACAGACACGGACACACATACAATAGACTAGTTGGTAGCAGTGTTGATATTATAAGATATATAATTTGTGATATTGCAGACATATCTGAAAACTTAATATAATCCACAGTCAATGTACATGAATATTTTTTTCGGGCACAGCTCTATACAAATTCCGGCCATGTCATTTCTACACTACGATGGTATGATGGCAGTTTTGGAAGACAATTAGTTTCATACACTTTCAAAAAGACACAGACCTATTGCAGTGAGGTCCTGCCCATCTGCAGACTTGCTCGCGCGAGCATGCCTGTCTAACGAAATTTTCCGCTTTATGCTGTATTTTTGAAAATACAATCTTCGTATTGAGACCCCCATGATAATCATAATTTTAAAATTCATCATAATCAACGATCTATTGCTGGGCTATGGCTCAGGGCTTCCCTATAGATAGAATCGAATCAAATAGGCAGAATGGGCCATGATCTACCACTCGGACCTAGTAGCTTAAAGTGCCTTCGGAAGCACGGAAGAGTTTGAGAAAAAAATCGGTCACCCATCCTAACACCGGCACTTAGGCCCTTAACAACCGTATCGCCATCGAGGCTAAGTTTTAAAATTAAATCTCAATAGAACAGTGCTCATTGCACGTACGTTTCATGGTGGCCAAGTCAGCGTCAGGCTCGTTGATGACCATAGTGCCAAGATCCGCCGCCAGTTCAGCGGAGCCGGTCCGTCGCGCCACCAGCGTGCCGTCCGACCGCTGCTTCATAGTCTCCTCGTCATAACCCTCACCCTGTTCAATATACACAAATATTGTTATTAACTAGCTGTTTTCGTCACGTTAGGGTACGTTTTCTACTCAACTGTGACGTAGCGAGCCCCCACTCCTCAACTTTAATGCCTGTTATCTAAGCTATTTCTTGTTAAATTGAAGTAACAAAAATACGTATTTAGTATTTTTCTATTATCCGACTGACGTACTAAATACAATTGCATTTTTTTTACCCAGTCATCATCCCTATTAACTAACTGTTTTCCTACGACTTCTCCGTATAAATTAGTCTATAAATTAGTCTCCGTATAATTATTTTCTCAATTCAGAAACCGGGTGTATATCACACGCGTATGATGTAGCTTTTGTAGCGTAGGTGAAAGAACTTTCATGATCGGTTCAGTATTCCCGAAGATAACCTACCACAAAGTTACAAACTTTATCTATTTATAATATATTTATAGCCGATGTAGATACATGTCTTTATCTGCTCTTCTAATTAGTCAATCAATACTCACCGCACCGAAAGTCTTAGCATTGTTAGACTGTTGTGCATTTCTGAATGCTTGCGATTCCCTGATCTCACGAGCTTCTGCTATCATCGTACTGAGGATAGTGGGGTGTTTGGCATTACCTGTGCCACAAATAACATAACATAGAGATATCTCACCAAATATATAGGACATGTGATTCATTCCAAAAAAAAATTTGCTCTGCAGATAAAAATAAGATTTATAAAACATAAGGCAATAAAATACTGTCCATATTGCCATATAGTCGATTAAAAAAATGCTGAATGCTGTATATTTTATTTTGTTTTTAACAACCTTGCTAAAATCAATTTAAAGCCTCTGCAGACTAAGTTAATGCATCCTAGTGATTCTGACGATGACCAAGCGTACGACTTAAATTTATAGTAAACTAGCTTTCGGCTTCGCCCGCATGGTCTTGTATTATACATAAAAACCTTCCATTTGAACCACCCTATCTATGAAAAAAATTCGTTGCGTAGTTTTAAAGATTTAAGCATACACAGGGATATAGGGATAGAGAAAGCGACTTTGTTTTATACTATGTAGTGATTTCGTTACGAAAACTATAAGGTATAAAATACAATGTATTAGGTGTTTGTCTCTCTCACTCTCTTTAGTGATTAGGCGAGCAGATCTCTACGATCGCCTGACTACTGACCAATCGCACGCTACTTGAGTCATTCAGGGTATTGGATTGTAGCATAATGATATGATGGTTTGTATAAAGGTAGCCAATGGAGTTGAAATACACAATTAAAATAAATCAGTAAAAAATATATATAGGATTTTATTATATAGGGTTATTTCAACTTCGAAGATTTGACGTCACATAACTCGCTGTCACTTTCAGGGTTACCAGAACAATGTGGCCTATTTATACACATTTCTTATCATTTTGAACAAACTCAGTATTGGCATGGAGAAAGCAGGACTATGCATTTTTGGTAATTTAAAGTGTGCAACATGCAGCGATTTTAAGGATTAAATAAGGCATCACAAAACTTTAAGCTGTAATTAGAAATAACAAATATACTTTTTAATATACACTGTTTGTTTTATTATAAGCAAATTCCTTCACCAGGATATTGATGATAAGTGACGCACATACGACAGGACAGCGTTTTAACGCAAATTTACAAAGACACTTTTGAAAAATAACACTCCGTTATAATTGGCCGATATTTGCCGTACTTCAAAATTTGCCATTCTGCACAGGTACATTATTAGGATGTACAAAAAAAGTATTCATTCATTCCATATCAGCTGTCTCTTAATGTAAATGGTTAAATTTGAAGTATTTATTACCTATAAACTCGTGATTCAATAGGAACTCTGCAGTTGCCCTCTCGTCTGGATTTTTAATAAGGCACTGGCTGACGAAGTCTATGAACTCTGACGACCACTGATCTGGTTCTCTGTAAAGATATACAGGAAGATATTATAATATATTTTCTAATAAAACATTGGGTAAGGTTGACAAATATCATAATTATATTTAGAAGTATTCCAACATTTTAAATGACAAATGGTGCAAGAAATATTGAGTGAGACAAATTATGTCATGGATTACGTCCACATCCTTACTAAATCTACAAAACTTATTTCGAATCTTTGGAACAAAACGAGTAAAATGGTCTACTGTTGACAACAAATCTGTACATCAGAGCCAACTGGTCGGATGTCCATTTTTGATCTTTTACAGGACAAGGAATTTAAACTTTTAAACGGTCGTTACTAGCTTACACTATTTAATTTACGAATAATCTTTAGGTGTGTCGAATGACTTTTTAATTGTGATTGTTTTTTGCTATACTTGTTCTTACGTATTCCATAAACAATAACACAATTAACCTTAAATCTGAGAAAGGGCTAACATCCGACCTAAATCATGAATGGGGGGGGATAATACCATTCGCTGTTTTGGTTCCAAAAAATATAAAGTGTAATCAATGATCCCACGCCTCATATTAATAACCGACCAAATGATTCGAAAACACACATAAATTCAGTAAAGTAGTATGTGGAAATAGATACAGATTTCCAAAAAGCGATTCGACCGCGGGTTGTCAGTGTTAGTGGCGCATATGCTATCTTTTTTCTCTTTCTAACGCCTATTAAAAAAACAGGTTATTTCTTTCGCACTGCATCTTACGTGGATTCCCCGAACCAAAGTCTGATGTTAACATCCGACACTACGCTCTAAGAAAATTTGGGAAGCGAAATATATGAACATCAGACCGTTTTTGAAGGTATTATTTTAAGATTACAAGAGGTAAATAAATATAAGTTGTTTTTGCTCCTAATTCATGTAAACATCCGACTTTTTTTAAGAAACTCAACTTTATAAACAAAAGAGATAATTAAATAATGATAAGAGAACCCGAAAGAGAACGAAGAATTGGATTTTGTCTAGAACAAAAGGTTTTCTCGCAAAAAATCGGACCTCCAACCAGTTGGTTTTAATGTACAGAAATGGAAACGTCAAGAAAGATAGGTTATAAATACAATTTCGGCGAAAATCACCAAATGTTCCAGTTCTGTTTATAATTTCAAGACCCCAAGATCGATAGCAATCTAAGTTATCAATATTTTATTTATTACCTTAGTTTTGTAACATAAAGAAATCTAAAGTGTTTTAGATGAGTTTTGTGCGTCTACGTCATTTCTGCTCGTTCTGTAAGCCATTCGTACAATAAACTTGAGATGTAGGTCACAGCAGTTGAATATGCCGACTTTTCGCTCGTGTTCACAAACTTTCTTTCCAAAGTTATCGACACATGTATGATCATAAGATCTATCTACACATTTAATGTCCCATTCATTTTGATTCGCATAAACAGCAGTACAATTTGAAAATTTCCTCCTTTTTTATCTAATTGGTTGTGAACTCCACCTTCTTTTATAGTAGGTTTTATTATATTCAACTATGATTGAAACGGCCCATTATTTAATTAAGAACAATTTCAGTCTTTTTTTCCAACAGTGTACGTAAAGTAAGTAAAATTTTAAATACCTGAATGAAGGCGGCGGTTTGGTGGGTATCATAAAGATGGCTCTCATAGGATGTATGTCGCCGTACGGCGGCTTGCCCTCCGCCATTTCTAAAGCGGTGATACCCAACGACCAAATGTCTGCTACACAATCGTAGCCGATCTCCTGAATCACCTCGGGTGCCATCCAAAACGGTGTTCCGATCACTGTATTCCGTTTCGCCATTGTATCCTGGGGAAGAACAAATGTTATTAATAATTTATTACAGTTAGTTCAGTTTAAAAAACTTTTGCCAAGTTCAGTTCCGATGGGTCACTATAAATCGGTTCCAGCCTGATGCCGTTGAAATCACCAGGAATCTGGATTCAGTCCAAATGATGATAGGTTCTATCCCACATTATTCCTATCTGATCTTAGCGATAGCGGACGCCTGTGCCTCAACAATAAATTATTCGTATTTCTTTTTTCTTTCTTTCATCGGCGGAACAGAGATATAAAAAGGATGTCGCGGTTCATATCCTTCAGATGACTAGAGAGAGAGAGATTCGTAAATTTAAAGGGATATGGAGTTCCATATGGGGCTGCAGCCATTTCGTCTACTGTGACTCGCCGCCACAACTATAGTTACCCTATCAGCGTCGTAGGCTCACAAAATTATAAATAAATACATATTAACCATCATATACATTGCTCTGATTTCAGGATGAGTAATAAAGTAATGTGGAGTAAGGTATTATGGAGTAACCGAGACAACGCACGTACAACACCCAGAACCGGCACTATATAGGAAAGTCCATTTTCGACATGGATCTGACCTGGAATCACACCGGGACCTTAGAGATGGTGACACCTTGCACTCGGCTACGAAGTTCCAAGTCTATGATATTCCTTCGATTACTGATATATTATACTTTACTCACGGTGAGTTGTCCCGCGACGCCGAAGTCGGCTAGTTTAGCGTGTCCCTCCGTGTTGAGCAGAATATTCCCCGCCTTGATGTCTCTATGAATCTTCCTCCTCCTATGCAGGTACTCTAGACCCTTAAGCGTGTCACATAGTATGGTCGCTATTTCGTCCTCCGACAATGTTTTCTTCCGTAACCTCATTATGTCTGATACGGATCCCGCGCCACAGTATTCCATAACGATCTGTAGGTACACAATGTATACAATATGAATAGGGGTCTATAGAAAGTGATTTTTAATAAGTTAATGGATTAGTGTTTGGTACAGTAGCAGAATGAAAAGGTTGATATTTTTTTTTAAAACTAACATTCTCAGTTAATATGGTTATTGAACCTTCGGCAAGTAAAAATGTTCATATCTCGTCATTTAACCTCTATATCGTTTAGAATTTTGCTTTATCGACATTAAAAAAGCTTTTAACAATCAAACGTACGGTCAGTTGCATAAACGTTCATTAATGTCAAATAAGTATGGGTAATTTCGCTTTAAATAATGTCAATTTTAATGGACGTGTGTCACAAAGTACTTTATATATACCTATATACGTTTGTACAACTGATCGTAAGCTTTTTATAGCTTCAACTAACATAAGTGATTATGCGATAGCAATAAAAAAACAATATTAAATAATAATAATAATAACACTGATAGCATAAAAAAAGGCCACAAATAAAATAGGCAACGCGAGTATATCATGGAACTAAATAAAGATGGGCAAACAACTGATAACTTTCCAAAAAAGCTTATGCTGTTCGTTTTTTGTTTACGCGTTTATCATATTATGATAAGTAACTGCCATGATTATTCATTCAGTATAATTGGAAAAAAAAACATTGTTCTATTATATTGCCCCTTTTTGCGAAATGAGACCAAAAAGAAACACGTATTAGCTTCTTGCGAATACCCAAATTACAGACACATTGCTATTGTTTTAATTACTGAAGATAACATAATTTGTTACCTTCAATAACTCTAATCCAGTCCTTCATTTAGTCCATCTCTGACGGCACAATATAATATAAAACAATCAACCTTTTCATTCGTCGACTGTACATGGTACAATTCCTTACCCAGGCGTTAGTCTGCTCCAAGTGTCATCTGTTAAACCCCCAACTCACCCAGAGGTCTGTGTTCTTGAAGTAGCTGCCGTAGTACTTGACCACGTAGGGACTGTCGCACTGCTGCATTATAGATATCTCCTTGATGATCTCTTGCAGGTCCGTGTCGACCGGCACTTGCTTGATGGCGAGCACCTGGCCGCTCTCCTTATGTAAAGCCTGTTTAAAAAAACTATACAGTCTATAGTCAATTCACCTGCACGCGTGGTGATGAACTCGAGGGACTCGAGAAAAGCGCAGAAAAAATATATTGTATTAAGTTCAAAGTCGATTGTGAAAAATGATTACTTGTCTTATGAAATGGTAAATTACGTGTCCCCTCTTCTAACTTTTTAAATAAGTGAGTGAAAAATATGAGCTATATGCGCTAACCAATTTTCATTTGAACGATAGGTAAGCAGTTTTTGAGACATACCATACATAGGTATTCTTAAGTAGCGAAAATTACTTATTAATTTATCAAACAGTCACGTCCCGCCAAATAAATTCCAAGCACACTTTTTTCAGTAGCTCCACCCAATGTTAATTCAAGGGTGTATAAGCCAGGGCTCGGAAACGTTATTCAAAATAACGTTTTTCAAACGTTTCTTATGGTTCTTTGGGCAAGATTGCGTTCGAAACGAAAACGAAATGAGAACGCTTTAAAAAACCGGTTTAATCCGTAAGACGGTGCCGCGCGGGCTGTAAGGGCGGCGTACATTTATTTTATTACGTTATTTACATTATGCGATGCAAAAAAAACGCAAAATAAATGGTTAAAAACGTTATATTAACCGAAAACAATATAATTCTGTTTTTTTTCCAAAATCGTTTTTTATATCGTTCTGTTCGAACGAAACCGAAACAAAGTGTTTTTAGGTATTTAAGATGAAAACGTTTCGAAAAATATACCGGTTTCCGACCCCTGGTATAAGCATTATGCGGTAAATAAGCTGAAAGAGCTTTTGAGGTTAGTTAGTTTAGGTTATTTAGAGTAGACGAAACCACGGCACAAAAGTTAATGAAACATCATCAACACAATTTAAATGTCATTACGTGAATTTGACGTTATAATATCACAAGGCGTAAAGGAATCTTTCATTCGTCAAAGTGACTAGCTCCAAGCTCATTCATTCATCACGCAAAGGGGGAGAAATATATTATCCAAACATTATAATTTTTACGTTTTCGAAACAAATACTACGAGTTTGGATGAATAAATATTTTTAAATATATACTTTATAATTTTTTTAATATATACTTTTTTAATTTAGCTAATATGGAAACGCAAGGCTAGAATAACTTCAATATTTTCTCAATATAGGTAATTTCAATTATTCTGTAACCTTTACACAAAAGTGTCAAAACAAAACGCTTGCTTTCTTATTCTACCTAAAGAAATAGACAACTCGCAATCGACATTTGCGTTTGTTCACTCAAATTTATAGGCCATTTAGTGTTCCTTGATAAGCGACGTAGCTACAATAAATTCTGTTTAAGAATAGTGTTACGTAAGCAAAGATTTGGAGTAACTCATTCACCATAGTACACAGCGGTTAATCCCTACCGAATCGATATTCGTGGCCCTGCAGTGGCTATAGAAATGCGAAAATATACACCTCGAAGCATTGCCTAAAAGTGAACAAGCTAACAGCACCCTCCTTTTCTTTCAAGGTGCCTTTCTTGCATAAAGCCGTATGGACTACAAGGTTCCTTAATTAGAGAGAAATAAAATAAACTAATTAGTGTTTAGAATACCCTATAGTTATCATAATATTTTTCGAGTACTCTACCAAATGATTTTGCGTAGGTAACCAATAAATTACACATGTCACACACATAACGTCAGGCTTTTGTAGATTTTCTACAAAATGAGCCGCCTTTATTTCTTTCTAATGCCAATTATTTGAGCTATTTTTTGTTAAATCGAAGTAAAAAAAATAAGATCTAATATTTTTCTATTATCTGACTGACGGATTTAATACAATATGAGTGTAGTAAACGAAAATAAATACTTCTTTTTTTTACTTTCTTTCAAGCACTTGTTTCTTTTTCGCTACTAACAGTGCGTATTCTCGTCAATGTTCAGGCAATCCACATTTTGCACTCACAATGCTATACTAAAAATATTTTTAACGAAAAATGCTTAAAAAATCCACTTGGCCCCCTGGCACCCTGAGAAAGATTCGTTGGTCCTATTAGGTCACGGGTAGCTCAGTGGTTAGAGCAATCGCCCGGATTGCGAAATGAAATGAAAAAGAAGAACAAGCGAAAGAAACTTACCAACTATTTATCATAAGTAATGATGACATTTACATAAATCATGCCATTACCAAAATATTACGTTTTGTAACATTAATAAATACACACCATTTTCAAAGTCTTTAGGTCATAAGTTGGTACATATAATTAGGCGTTGTAGAACAAAGCGAAGGCCATTAATTCCATGTATTGCGGTCCTTAAAATAATTATGGGTTGGGGTTAAAATTCCATCTCAGAGATCAAATATAATCATTAAATTCCTTTTCAGGTTTAAATTTATTTAAATTATATGAATTTTCTTATTATATATATATATTTCATATCTAAAAAATAGAAATATAAAATAAGTTGTTTTCTACATCTTTTTCTTTCCTTTTTTACCCAGGAATCATCCCTATTGTGATGAACGCAAAATTCATTAGAAGTCCACTAGAAACGATTAATTTTATATAATGAAAAAAGCAACGAAAGATTTAATTAGTACCTATAATAAAATTATTACCAACAATTACTTGAATTGAGGTTTTTTTATAAGTAAATCGTTAATAATATATCAGATCAACAAAATGTTTAATGCAATACGTACTGTTAGCGACGCGGGTATTTCAATGTATTTTTAAAAAATAAATATAGATATTTAGATAGATAGAGGATTGATAGCACGAGTTCGAATGGTTCGTTCGCTCGGGTTTTTTATTTTTTTTTTTATTTGTCATTTTAATGAAAAAAAACTCTTTTTCAAAAGTTCAATAAATTTTTCCATTCATGAAATTACGTCGTTTTCTTTGTAATTCAGACTTATATTTACTGCGAGACCCGCGTCGTCTACACGTACCTTATATACGCTGCCATAAGATCCTTCGCCCAATTTGCAAATGATATCAAACACTTCTTCTGGTTGGCGCGTGAGACTCTCCTCAGAGAGTTTCTTTAGTTCGCTGAAACAAAACAGAAGTAACTTTAATGAAATAATATAGTTTATTAAAAAAGGATATTTTTTTGACGTATAGACTACGAACACTAAATAAATCTACGATTTATGTAAATAATAAATAGACCATAAGTAGATCAATCTCAAATAACATTTACTCGAGATGTAGGGATTAAAGAATCATCACTCGTAAAGATGTCGTTAATTTTAGATGCTAAAGGATATTTATATAAGATCTGTTTCGAGTTTCTGAACGCAGTTAAATTAGTGTTAAGGCAACTATATCTATCCAGAGTGTCGTGATACGACAGCCTTGAGAATCAATAAAACTATCGACGATAGAGATGACGAGAAAATTTTTGTTTGTTTGTCCATCAGGTAGATAGTTGAAAAATATAAAACACGCATATTTAAAATTTTTGCCTTTTCATTAAATTACAGCGATACATTAAGTTAAAACGTCACATGACGTCACGCTTTTGTACATTTTCTACAAATCTAGCCCCACTCCTCAACTTTACTCCCTGTTATCTAAGGTATTTCTCGGTAAAGTGAAGTAAAAAAAAATACGTATCTCATATTTTTCTGTTATCTGACTGACAGACTAAATAGAATTTCTTTTTTTTTACCCTGTTGTCATCCATATTGTCAATAAAATATCGATATTATTTTATCACTGTCAATAGCATTGTTTGCTCTGACGAGAATAGATTAAAAACGTTATTAAATAATGCTATCAATTTGAATTTGAACTATTCTAGGACTATTGCTTGTTTATAGAAAATATAATGGAGGAGCATCAATTTTAGTCATCAAAAATAACATCTTACTTTGTTATTGATACATACTATTGATGATACCTTTATTCTATGATGAAAGGAAATGCGTTACATATACCCCTAGGGTTGCCAACCGTACATAGCTATAGTATTGTACTATACTTATTTTTGGCCTGTGTACTATATACCGTTTTAAAAAACATCTTATATACAAATCGTGTAATGAATCGTGGAACACATAAAAAATAGAGTCATCCAATTTGATGCAGTCGGAATTGGAATTCGGAAGTTATGCGCGTACATACGTTTCGGCGATTCATTTTTATTCATCGATATTTAATAGCTCGCCCGGACATTTTTTATTTTTCGAAAACTCATTAGTTGTTCATTTGTTGATATAGTGTAAAAGGTAATTTTGATCTACATTACATGCATAATGTATCTAACTTATTTATTTGAATGAGGTAACTGTATTTTTAAAAATAGGTTCGTCATCATAACCCATCATTTAACTGTTTTAAGCATAGAACACAGAAAAGAGGTTTTAAGTATACGTAAAAAAATGGTTATTGTGGGTTATCCTTAGAATATAGACATATACCACCGCGGACTTTTTTGTAGTTACAATTCCACCATACAATGTTTTGTTATAATTCAAAAGTTTTTGGCAGCGTTTTAGAGGTAAGCTTCCGATCCGCTTTATTTTTTTCGAGAGATTAAACTAATATCGTCAGTTTGTACTTGTTGTTTGTTGTCGGTAGAATTGCTCTATCTATTGTTGAAAACCGCATGAAAATCCGTCTAGTACTTTTCGAGTTATCGCGAACAGACAGACAAACAGAAGCGGCGGCTTAATTTGCTGTAGATATGTTGGAAACCCTATATATACATCTCGCCTCCCTAGCACTTTCGGTTACATATGTGGGACTCTCGAGGTTATATGGGACTTATCTAACCCCTGCGAAGTATCCGCCCATGGGCTTGTATATGGTAGATGAAGCGCCAGGATAGCCCGAAGGCTATTTCCTAGCACTGTTCGCCCACACTATAGAAGATGCTTCAATCGATAGCATCGATACTATTGAGAAATCCTTTAGTCCTACCCAGTGTCATTTTCAAGGTCCAGATCGAAGGGCTTAGTTCGCGCCAAGAAACTTTTTTAATGAAGAAATATTGATCATTCGACTTTAAAAATTCGAGCTTGATAATCGATTATGTATGAACATATAAATGGACACAGCCGGTCAGGCTCCCACGTGTTATCAGTTCGCCACACGACAAGTAAGTACAATAAACACAAGCTTTTCGTGTCAGCGACCCTTTATCACGATTCACGGATAACGGCACCCCCGGCTAACCTAATAACGCAATCGACTCACTGAAACATTACGGATGTTTTATTACTCGTATCGTCACTGGAAAAGTTCCTTTATTAACATGATACTTTAAAATATTGATAAGAATAATTTATTACTAAGAATATGGTAATGACAAGAAATGAGATAGGATAGACTATAATATACAGGGGCGAAGTCGCGGGAAAACAGTTACTTTTTTATAAAGTCAAAATTAAAAATAATATACATACTCTATAGTCTACTATACATCGGATAAAAAACATTCTTACGGTCACGCGCAATATCCATAAAATGAAACTACTTTAAATATAATTTAATTCGATAAAGGTAAACGTTTCCAATAGTATTGTCTCCAATAGTATTATTTTGAAGGTAATTTAAAAAAATCGACACCCAAGATAAACTCAATAAAAATTACAGACAAGTCAGACAGGAAACTGATTTTCGATTTTATCATTTAGATTACACGACAATTTGGATGGTATGAAAAATATTATAATAATGAACAATCATCATCGCATACCTATAAATGAAAATCTGATAATTGAAATATGTTTAAGTTTCTTAATTAATTTACTATTGAAAAACACTGACGCTAAAACTGACGCCTTTAATAATCCGTTATTTCAAATTGTGTCATTCTTCTCAAAACCGAACGATTTTGACATTCAACAAGACCGACCTCTTTGCTGTCTGTAGGTAATTCAGTTAATGGTAGCGTAATCAATAACCCTTAAACTACAACCCTTAACGGCAGTTCTTGTTACTAGATCACAAAATAATACCTGTCACCATTGATTTGTGAGGAAGACATTGCATTAATAATACATATTGGACTCTCGGTAAATGGTAAGATAGTTAAATGCAAATAGTTAAGAATGTATAGAGATAATTATAACCAGCAGTTTTGAAGATTAGCCAAACTAACTTCAGCTCCTGAGAAATGCGTTACGCATCCCCGCTTCGCCCTGCGCGGGCTCCACGGGTGATGTGGGACTCCTCCTGTGGCCCCAACCCCAAAAGGGGGCTAGACAAGAAACAGAAGTTTACCCACTAAAACTCAGCGATGTCCCTCTCATGGTGGGCGAGGCGCGGGATCGGCCCGGAGGCCATACACCGCGCAGTTCGCCCCCATTTCGACCCGCCCTGCAAAGGGCAGGTTCCACTCGGGTTGGGGGTACGTCTCAGAGACATTCGAGACGCAACCCTACGACGAGGCAGGAAACTCTTCAGCTCTTCGATCAACAATACAATAAATTAAATATTGTCGATCAAAGCGTCAGCTTTATAATATTATAGTATAGATAGATAGCTAGCTGTTTCGTCGAATGACTATTGGTCACACGAAGTTTAATAGGGCGTAACATATCTGGAATTTTACACCGCTGTATCATTAACAAACCTACGCCTTTGGCAATAATCTTTATATCTATAAACATGGCAAAGTGTAGATAATGAATGTATCGAATAGATATATAAAAATAAATCTATTCGACTAACCTTAAGAAACTTCCTCCCTTTTTTTTTTTTTTTTTTTTTTTTTTTTGACGCTGAGAAATGCTTTACGCATACCCGCTTCACCCTGCGCGGGCTCCACGGGTGATGTGGGACTCCTTCCTGTGGCCCCACCCCCGAGGGGGCTAGACAAGAAACGGAAGTTTACCCACTAAAACTCAGCGATGTCCCTCTCATGGTGGGCGAGGCGCGGGATCAGCCCCGGAGGCCATACACCGCGCAGTTCGCCCCCATTTCGGCCCGCCCCGAAAAGGGCAGGTCCCACTCGGGTTGGGGGTAAGCCTCAGAGACATTCGAGACGCACCCCCACGACGAGGCAGAAGCGTGCAATGCCGACCGGTGCGATTAAAATATATTACCCGGTTGCATAAACACTGCAATTTACCCATTATAATGTTTTAACTTCATAAATGAACTACAAACCGTTTCAGGAGATAACCCACCGGAAAACGATCTAGCAGTCTGTCCAGAATAAATGATAAATCTTATCAAGCCTGCAGTTCAGTTGATTTACAACAAATTAAATATTTTTAAACTTTCAATATACTTATTGTTTATTTTTAGTTTCATTCGTCATTCTAAAGCGGTAAAATGATTTTATGATGAATGATAAATGAATTTTATGATGCGTGGTCGAGTCTTAACTTATTCGTAATATCGTCTGAAGATATTATTATACTAATAACTATTATTACTAGTTATTTTAAGAATGTCCGAGTGTGCATTCTGATGTGCTTTTATTTTAGACTAGCTGTTCTTCGCACGCGTAAATAATAGCCGTGCTTTTATTTTAGACTAGCTGTTCTTCGCACGCGTAAATTATATCCTATGTCAACTCCGTAAGATGTAGCTACCTAGGCGAAAGACTATTTAAAATCGATTTCTGACGAAGACATCTGAATCAATAAATAGGCGTTTTTTGACTTTGACTTAAGAAACGTTACTGTTTAGAAGATCATTTCTAATAAAGTTAATTCTATTGATTGAAACAAGTTTAATTCTTGTTCGGTAGCCAAAATCAAAACGCAGATTACAATCAGCACGGTACTGTAGAAGCAAGAAAAACAGTGGGTGTACACGCTATGTTTCTTGCTCTATCAAATGGCAGTAACAGAAGAGGAGGGAGACGCAAAAGGCATAATGCTTCCAGATGTTGTCCAACCTTTAGACCAATTTGGATACTCGTAATTCTAAAATACATTACCTATAAGCACCAATAAGTTCGAGAAAAGTTGTATTAAATGAGACCTAAATGATTCAATAACTTCATACTGAATACACAATGAAACGGACCAATTAAGAACTAAAAGTGCGAAATATATATATTAAAAAACAAAATTTAATTCGACAAATTT